GTTCTTCGTCAAGAACTGTTCATGTCAGATGAGAGATTAAAAAAGAAAAGAATGAAACAGTGTCCTCATGGCATTGCCTTATATTCTAGCAATAAACAGGGATAATTGCTAAGCTCATTTTGTACACTGATTTGCCAAACCTTCACTGTAGTCAAAGTGATACACGCTGTACACTGCCGCTGTATTTAGTGTCACTCTGCGCCTCAAACCCCAAGTGACTGCACGTAACCTTCATCCACTTGTGTTTCACATTCCCATCTGCAGCCCAGGATGCTGCTCGACATGAAATATGCAATGAATTATAAAACGCATTATGTAATGCATCCACCGAGTCTGACGCAGACGTTTGTGCAACAGCTAATTAAGCAGCGTGATGTGGTGGTGGTGGGGGGGGGCGATTGGGCAGATTTATCTCTTTATGCTCATCTGCAGAACATCGGGGAATAGCAGAAGAAGAGATGCTCCGATGAAAGAAAGAAAATATGCAGGAAAAAAGGTGAAAACAGGGTGAGGGATACACGCAGAGACAACATGAGCTGAAAGAATTGTCTGTAGACGCGCAGATATTTGCATGATCACGCTTAATAACAGGACAACATGAAGAAGCAGAGTGAGAGTTACAATAGAAATCACAGACAGAGCATCTGGAGGAAACAGATGAAAATATAAGCAATCAATAGCCTCACAGAGCAAGAGAAACTGGAACAGAAAGTATTCAATAGTAAAGGAGGGTATGAACTGGCCTTGAAGCAGCTTGATGCAGGAAAAGAATCTGGCTGTCTCTCTGCTCTCATCAACTACATCCCGAGCCTAATTGTAAATCAATTCACAATGGCCTTGCCGGGGTGTGTATTTACAGTCTGTAGATGGCTGGAGCTGATAAAGTGTAAAGCCAATTCCTCTCTCTTGAGCCCAATCTACTTCAAACAAACGCAACCTATAGCAGCAAGAGGGGTTTCCTGAGAATCCCTGTCTTCCAGAGTAACAGTGCTTCTCTCTAAAACGCCAGGACAAATGCTGTGTTAGATCGTGTTCTGATCCAGTCGCCAAAGCACAAGATACACAAGTCATATGTTTTCTAGTCTCCTTGTCCTTCTTTGGTCACTTCTCCTGCTACTGTATACAATCCTTCGATGGCATTTCTTAAACACTCAGTCATGACTATAAATAATTGTATGCTATAAAAAAGTGTGTTTTAAAAAAAAAAAAAAAAAAAAAGATGAGCAAAGAGACATCACAGCGATTTTTTGAAAGGATTCCTGAATTCACGTTAGTATTTATACAAAACAATAAAGCACTTTGGGCTACAAAGAAGAGCAACAAAGGGTCTTAAATTTTTCCCTTTAGACATATATGCGAGAGGCAAGCAGGATGTCAACAACAAATGCCGGCACAATCTGTTGCAAAAAGAAAACGTACTGGAAGAATTTGTTAGCACCATGTTTAGTGTCTTTCCTTTACCTTTTTCTCAAAAACACAAACACCAGCAATGTTGTAGCAGAAATAAAATATCCGAGAGAGATCTGATACACACCATTTACTGTAATCTACAGAGTGTTCAACGTTGTTATACAATACAGAATTTTTCTCTTCGTGTGGAGGAGTACTGGATGGAACACAGCATGAAAGAAAGCCCCAAGTGTCATGAAAAGCAGAAGAGCGGATGTGCCTGCGATTGTGTGGTGAGTAGAACGGGCCCAAATTAGAAGGTGAACTCAGAGACTGGCAATGTCGGTTTTAATGGCTGCTGCCCAGCACACAGATAGGATGAAGCAAAACACCTGCCCTCACTCTTGCCTGACTAAAATCCAGATCAGCGCTTCTTTTTTTGTTTGTTTTTTTGCATTTAAAACGAATCCTGAATTGCCGCACTATCTGCTTTAGCTGAAGGGTAACACGAGGCAGAAAGCTCGGAGAGCACAGGATGCGATTTGGGCAGCTCTTATATCCCAGGCATTTCAAAGTGCAGGCTTAAAGTGACTAGCAGCGTGCTCTTACTTTCTCAACCTTTATTTTTCATGCACAGATGAACACACGTACACGTGCATACTCACACAGGAATAAGCAAACAGAGAGCAGATTGCAGGCTTAGGCACGGAGGTGAGTGTATACAGTGTGGGCCGCTGGGAGCACTAGAGACCTGACGCTGGCGGTTCACACTTCCTCAGCCCTCGCACTACTGTGTGTGTGTGTGTGTGTGTGTCTGCATAAGCAAAAGCACCAGCAACACCTCCTCTCGCTCATCCACACTACATCACACCATGTGTTTAGAGAAGGGAAAGAGACGCCACTGACATCACACCACGCAGGTGGCAACCCTCTCACAGGAGGAAAGCGAGATGAGATAAAGACTGCCTTCGAGCTGTGCAGCATTTAATCATGTCAGAATGTAGAAGCTTCCTTTAGAGTACAAAGACACTGTATTGACATGAAAAAGTGAGAACGCTTAATACCTCACTTGTTGTTGGGTTGTTGTTTTTTTTTGGTTAAATGGTGTCTGCGTTTGCGCCGCTTCCTGTCGTCACTTTCCTCTACACTTCTTCACTCTTCTTTCCATCTCAGTTGTGAGGCCTGTAAAAGCATGGCCTTTGATAAAGATGAACATATTGGCTCGTCTCTTTAACTCTTTAACTAATATTTTCCTGCAATCAAGGAGGGTGATCGATGCCTTCGAGCAGATGTCACTTATAAGCGTTTCGAGGCCGAGAGAGAGAGAGAGACCTACTGAAAAGCCTCCAAGATCAAAGATGAAGAAGCAAATGCAAAAAAAAAACCAAGTGTGAGCGCATACGTTAGTAGCTGGCTTTTGTAAAATACCACAGTTCCAAGCATTGCACTAGTTAGAGATCTACGGTTACACCTCTTGTCCTTTTCCTTTCAAGATTAAAACAGTTGATTGTTGCTTGATGTTTGCCACACAATAAAACTTCCTTATGCACATTTATTAGATTTTTTTTCTCTCTTTTTCTCTATCACTGTCTCATACCACAACCAACTAACTAAAGTTTTAAAATGCTTGATCATCTAGATAACACAAGACAAAACACGATAAGACCACTCCTATGTTAAACATGTCAATAGAATACACTGCTTTTTAATCGCCTAGCTACACGACAATCTCAAGTCATGCTTGTGCTTAGCAGGCTGCTCTTATTAAACCTGTGCATACAATAATTCTTGTCTTTAGGCAGCAAAAAAAAAACCCTTCACCATTCAGACACCATAAAAAAAAAACTGTGCTATTTTTTTTTCTTTTTATACAAAGGGCCTTCAAGCTCCTGTAGTCGTCACCTACTCCTAGTACTTCATGTTCAGAAAGAACAATGAGGTTTAATATAATATGTGTGCCATAATTAAACCTCACCTACCATTAATCCAAATGGTAAATTGGAGCAGGGCAAAGATTAGGCAGGTCATTATTCACCAAAGTCTATGTGGGAATGGTACTTTTAATAAAAAACATTCCCTACAAGGCAACCGAGTACTCCAAAGAAGACTTTCCTTTTCTTGTGTCTCTGGATCCCAGAGAGGAACAACTGATTATAATTGGCTTTCTGTTTCATGCAATTAATTATAAGTAGCTCGTAACACCTCAGGGCAAGGATGTGCAAGACTTTGCCATTTTAAAATGCTAAATTCTATATGCTATTTCATCATGAATGTTCAGAGCAACATTGTAAGTAATATAAGCGAAGAAACCATGTGACCACAAAAGTAAGCATTTTTTTACAAAATCACTGGTCCAGGTCAGGACGAGCAACAGAAAAGATTGGCTCATTGGGCATGAGGCAGGAATACACTCTAGATGGGATTCCAGTCCATCACAGAACACTCCAACCTTAACATACCTTTTTTTTCCCATGGCGCTCGCTTTGAACACCGGGGCATTGTCATGCTGGAACAGGTTTAACAGGCCTCTTGTAGTTCACATGAAGGGAAGCTGTAATGTTACAGCATATAGAGACATTCTATACAACTGTGTGCTTCAGACTTCGTGGAATAGGCCCACATATTGGTATGATGGTCAGCGATACACATGCTTTCGGCTGTATCATGTATATGTTCTCTGATTTGCACAGTTAATGCTGACCTAATGATTGGATCAACAGAAGCACATCACCGAGATACAAAGTCATTAGACTTGCTGCTTATTTCCCTGCTTAGCATTAAGGACAGCTGCTGAGGAACAGTGTGAAGGCCACTAATGACAGCACTCTCGAGTTAATGACCTGGGCCGTCCAGGCAGAAGCAGGAATCACAGATACTCAACTCACAGCAGCCCTTTCAGTGGAGGGCTCTCTATGTGCTTCACTACAAGCCTTTTCTGCAACTGTCAATATACAGTAGGTGACTGCAGTGGTTAAACAAATAAATCTTAGATGTGGATGTTAGAGACAAGAAGATGGCTATGAAACCTGAACAAGCACTAAAATCTTGCTTTCAGTTCAGCTGCTTTTGCAAACACCATATATTATTTCAAAAGCATTATATGCAGTATAGTGCATTAAACAAAATGTCAAAATGTTCTGCATTCTTCAGAACTGTCTGTGATGGAGAGAAGAAGCGGCTTCTTCATTCATCCGGTCGCTGCGGATGCTTCTCGACTCAACTACAACACCATCTACTCGCCAAGCAACTGTTGCCACCAACTCTCCAAAGCTCAAGTCACCATCTGTTCTACCACTGAATGGAAAATAGGGAGAGAGAAAAAAAAAAGAGAGCGAGGTAATGACAGGAAGTATGGGTGAAAATTCTGGGTAAAGAAGATGCGTACTCTGCTTTGCTACCCGAGTGTCACCCATTTTTCCACACAATTCGCTGCCACAAAGGGGTAAAAACAACATCAAAACGATGCTCATGCCTAGTTCATAACATGGTGCATGGTTAAATTTATTTCATTTGGTAGACACCGTTATCCAGCGTGACTAACATTTATCTCATCTATACAACTGAGCAGTTGAGGATTAAGAGCCTTGCTCAAGGACCCAACAGTGGCACTTTGGCAGTGCTGTGATTTGAACTCATGACCCTTTGATCAGTAGTCCAACGTCTTAACCACTGAGCTACCACTGCCCATTAGGGGTACATTTTAGACAACATTTTCTAGGTTAGATTTCCATTTTAGACAACATTAGGAGCAACTGTGTGCCTCCTACTCGGAGATGCTTCACCTATATAAAAAGTTTTTAAAAAACAATGCTAATTCATAATCCAATGAAAGACTTCACGCTTTCATTTCAAGCTTTTTTATTTCAATAGCAAACTAAATGTGAATACGACATGATGAAATCAAATCAGGCTGAAGTACGTAAGACGACCACCCCTCGTCTAAAACTGTAGATTAGATGACAATGGAGAGGAAACCCATGCGAAGAATTGTGGATTGTCTCTCCAGAACTGCTCACTTTCAGTACCAATTTCTTTTCCTGCACACAAAAATGCACTCGTGCACATTCCAAATGCCTCTCAACAGGAAGTGTCCTAGTCTGCAGTGCAAAAGTGTGTGAGTCATTTGCATGGTACAGAGAAGAGGAAGCGAAAGCCGCTCAGTCCATAGGAGAAAAAAGGCAGGGCGGGTTCCTGTTCAGTCCGTGTCGCCTCACCTTGCCTCACTGCTTTCCATGTGTTTTGACTATAGACACATGCCACCCACCATAGCCCCTGCCCAACAGGAAGCAGCAGCAGCTCACAGAGCCTTGCTATTCACATTCAAATGAAGCTGTTATCAGGAAGCCAGTATTGGCAGAAAATTGGAAAGAAAGAGCGAGAGAGAGAGAGCGAGAAGAAGAAGAAGAGAGAAAGTCTTTTAACCCATTTTTAGAGATTGACAGACAGTGGAGTGTGCCATGACACCCCACGCCAACAGAGAGCTCTCTAATTCACACACTTCCTGTTCCTCTGTCACTTCCTGTTTATGGACTATATAAGGACACCTTCCTACACAAAATTACTAGGAGATCTTGCCAATACTTCTAGTATGTTCTGATACATTGTTTTATGCTTGCTGTCCCTAGTTATGACCTTGCTTCTTTTAATGCGGTGTTTAACCCTGTTTGCAAGTACTCCTTCTGGGCATCCCAGGGATCTCAACAAAATAAGACTGGTGCTATCAATACTCACTGGACAAACTCTAGACTGGACTGCGGGTGTATGTGCGATGCTCTTATCTAACAATCCTGTCCACAATTCCAGAATTAATTTTGGGAAGTCTTTTATTGTCCAGCGATGGCAAGAATCACGGGTCGCAGGCAACATTCTGAATGATTCGCTTATTGCCGCCGTTCACCCAAAACATGCGGACTGGCACTCTTCCAGACCCGTGAGCAGACCATGTCACGGGGGTGGATCGGTGGTTCCAAGTCGAAATCATTCATGCATTAACTCGCTGCAAAGTCTTGCCAATATTTTCATTGAGTAAGTTCTGAGCTGTCTGATATCCCCAAATTCCCAAAAGATATCTGACATTTCTCCATCTCTGAGTATTCCTGAGTATGACCTTTGCTCCAATTGTGACTTCCCTGTAAGTTTTACACTTTGTTTCATGGATTTCTGGATTCTTTGTGCTTTGTCTCCCTGCCTGATTCATGACACTGTTTTGGATTAGTGTATCTTGATTCATTAAACCTCCAGCACAAACCTTCTCCTGAGTCTCTGTGAAATACATGCATACATCTGTCACAAGCTCTACTGACTTTTTTTAAACATGGTCCCCTAACCCATTTCAATATACTAAAGCGATATATAGGATTGCGATTTACCTACACTATACACATGGTTGCTTGGTGCATATGTTCACATGTGTGTTAGTCATGTTTGTAAAGCATGTCATTTGCGTGTGGGTCGTGTTCCATTGCCTAGTAAACACCTGCAAACACTCAACTGCTGTTGTTTAGCCGGAGACAAGTGAGGGTAAATTTAGCAGCGGATTTTTTTTGTCTGGTGCTGCCACATGTGCCAGTCAGCATGAACACTGCTTTGTTGAACCAACCACATCGAATTTCCTATTTGCTTCAGCTGAAGAAGTTTTATAAACACATAAGTCCAGGCAGTGATAAAAAATTCTAACCATATTGAATCAGTATGGATGAATTACTAGAAAAGACATTGGGAGAGAGAGAGAGCTCACCTCCAATGCCTGGGGAACTTCACCTGTATGCCCAGCACTAATGGTCACATGATCACTCACTCTTACCCAGCATTGTCAGATCACAATTTTTATTCATCCACTCACACAGCAATGTCTCTCATCCTCTTTCTCCTTTCCCTCTCTCCACCTGATTCCATCAAGGACAAAGCACAGTTTCTGAGATGGTTCCCATAGAAACAGAGTATGCCTTGCTATTTTAGTCAGGTTTTGTACATCGTATCTGCCAGAGCAGCCGCACCAAAGACAGGAAGTGACCAACAGCACACATCAATAAGAAAGTCTGGAATCCCTGCAGCAGTTCAGACGGCCATCTACTGCTGCCCCGGGGTTAAAGATGACCATCAAGTCAACATGCTAATGGAAAGAAAGTTAATGAATGTTTCATGCATGAAATTCATGCCTGAAATTTTAAAGCCAAATTCATCTTTTTATCTTATTTCCAAAGGACCTTTTAAAAGAAATGTGTACACATAGAAATAAATTATAATTATTAATAATTATTTTTTGCTAAAAAAATAAAAAATCTCACTACTTTAGCAGAATACACAAAGGTTAATGACACTTTATTTAACCTAAATTCTTTACCCTAATCTTAAATGATTTGCTGTTTGCTAGTAAACAAGCTAATGTTATGCTAACCGCTATGTGAAAATACTAAAATTAGCAGTGTTTCCTAGTACACGAGCTAATATTCCCAATTTTATGATTTTTATTGGAGTTTGTTTCCAAATTCAGTTATTTATTCCTAATGATGTGTTCATTCTTAGTTCTCTGAGGACGATTTCCATTTGCATGATTTCACTGCTCGAAGAAACAATAGATGAAATAAGTGGCACATTGAATTAGTTTCTTGCCAATTGTATGATTGTTCTGGAGTTTTTCATTCTCAGTAATAAAATATTCAGTCTTAAATTCAGTCTGTTTTCATTCATATCGATGTATCTCTGTATATTCAGTTCATTTTGTAGATTTGAATGATGAATTAACACAATATTGCGTGGTATCGTTCAGCTGACATAGTGTGGTAAGATACGTTTATGGTATTGTGATAACCTTGATAGACATAGACATACTGTACACATGCACTCTTTTCCAGAGACACCATAATTCTCCAGAGTTGTTGTTGCCAATTCTGACCTTTCACCCCTGGGGGGAATAAAGCCTGCGCATAAGGTGCAATAGATATCAATATACACACCCAGACAAAAACACAACCATTCTCTGAACACTGGCTGGGGAAGCTAATCCATCACGAGGCACCCCCCCCCACACACACACACACACACACACAAAATCAAACACTCGTTCTCCCTTCAAGGCAATTTAGAGTAACAAATCTATGTACCAGCATGTTTTCTGGAAGAAACCTGAACAGAGAAGAGAAGTAACCCTGAGTTCAGTGCTCAGCTTATGTTATCCAGTCCCCCAATGTGCCATCCTCTTCCACACTATCACAACCTCCAAACCATTACAGAAGGTATTTATATTAATAACTAGAACCAGTTTATAACAATAGCACTTTACATTAGATATGGTCTACAAAGCGCTTTACACTGTTTCTCATTCACCCATTCACACATTCACTCACACCAATGCAAAGGTGACGCATCACCAGTACTGCTGATGAACACCTCAGTGTCCAGTATTTCTGAGGTGCCAAGCTCTGAAGAATGAAAAGTGCTAGACTGCTAACTTGGTGTTCACTTGGAGTTAGAATTCTTGAGTAAAGTAGTCCGTTAATGCTGGCACAAGTGACTTTTAGCCGTAATGAATATTTACAGTACATGCATGTTTGTCTGAATCGTTTAACAAACTCGGAGTCGAGCTCTCACTGCTACTGGTTTCAATTTCACCACTTGCACTTCCAATGCCAAGAGAGATCGCGAGAAGGACTATAAGGACGTAACAATTACCAACAACTCGTTCAGTCATGCGTATACAATTTAAATGTTCCTCCTGCGCATTTCAACATCTTCAATCGCCTCTGCTCGGCCTGTAATTAGCCGCTTAAAAAAATATTTTAATGCTGATATTCATCATCTGTGTACAAACTGAGAAACAATTAAAACACTGTACGAATGCTTACACAGGTTAATTGAGTCAGAGTTTGTCAATAATCTCAAGAAAAAGCTAACGATGTGCCGCTTAGCTGTTTGCTGACAGTTAGATTGCTAACATCTGTGCTAATGACTTAGGTGTGGTTCAAACCAACGTCATGGAATTGGCAATATGGATCTGCCTTTGACCTTGGAGATTAATTTTCAAATAAAAGTAACCTTAAAGTATGCATTCTGACATGGAATCATATTTTCAGAACAAACACTGGCGTTTATTCATTTTATCACAGGCTTTTTCTTAAATATACATTTTTTCATTTGAATTCCCAATTCTTGCATGTCATAAGTGTCACACATTTAATGTAGGGCATGCAATATAAATCTGTCTGCATCACTCGAACTGAACCAGAAGCACAGAAGTGATTTTACATAGGTATTACCGGACACACACACACACACACACACACACACACACAGAGAAGCACAGAGGAGGCCATGGGTAGCCTCGACTGCCTTTTATGAAAACAGCAGGGCCGGTGTGCATCACAAGCCAATCAGCAGAAAGCAGCACCATGTCAAGAAGAAAGAAAGGGATGGACAGATCACTAACCTGGGAGCCCTTGACAAGCACACTTCATGTTCAGGCAATCAGTATTTCACGTTTTTTTTTTTTTCAAGTGACTTTAACAAACAGAAGAAAAGTACACTTATACTTATTGACCTTCCCAATACAAAAGGTTTCATTTAATTTGCATGTATATTTAAACGTTACGCACTTCAGGGTGGTGTGGCGCTCCTCAATGCTGTAACTATCTGATCTTTCGAATCCTGACACCTGCCGCACTACACAAATCAGCTGAGACCATGAAA